ATGAATGTTCTCTCTTGGAAGTCTCTAGGTACCATGAATTACTGTTCAAAGTGGCTGAAGGAAACCTCCACCTCTTCCACTGTTTAACATGAAAAGGTTTTTCAAAACCAGAGGTAGACTTCCAATTACTTCTTTCTGTTTCATATTTTGGCAGTCCAAACAGCCCCCAGTTCAACAAACTGGCTACTGGACCTGCCAAAGTTGCCTATCCTTGCCCTTAAGAGTCCCATCAAAGTCCAACCATAAATAGCAGGACAGCGGATGTTGCTTGGACTTCAATACTGATCACCATTAGCCAGTCTGTGCCAAGAATGGGGGAAGGTACAGGTTTGTGTTATGCATTTCCTCAGAAAACACTAAAATTAGCATCTTTGGATTGACATTCAGCAGCAAGGATTAAACAGTTGTGGGGTAACTCAGCTGAACCAAGTACTGTTTTATGATGTGAGTTTTATTTTTAACTGTCTTCTCTCCATACTGAGCCCAGTAGGGATTGGATGGAAACCAATCTAAAAGAAATGTCTCATCAAATTCTCTACCTCTGTCACCATTCTGACCAGCTGACAGGCCAAGGATAGCCAAGTGTACAAAACACATTCGGTCACCATTGCCTCTATCACACTTCAATCAAATATGCATCCCTTTGTTTTCAAGTCTGTTGTGCCTTCTCAGAAATTAGAGTGTGAGCAAATGTTTGCCATGCATATTATATTTCCTTCTGTTATGGTGCTGCTATCTCATACTGACTCTGGAACGGCAACAGATTGGTGATAATGTCCCTCTTGAGGGTAACTTTCGGAAAGTAGATTCATTCTCCTTCAAGTAGTTTCTGACTTATGGTGACCCAAAGGCGAACCAATCACGGGGTTTTCTTGACAAGACTTCTTCAGAGGTGGTCTCCAGAGTCACAGTCCAATGGCCAAACCACTACGCTGGCTCTCATAAACAACAATTTATCTTAGTACATGTATTATTGATTCCTGAAGCTCTTCCTGCATGGCAATGCCATATGTGTTACAGAGATCATTTATGGTGGCATTTACGTCATCTGGAGCAAACTTTACCCAACCCTGCAGCTTCTAGATGTGGTAGACCTGTCATCTCCAGCTGGGTTGATGGAGGTTGCAGTACAACACATCTGGAGGGTGACAGACTGGATAAGTCTGCTTTTGAAAATGTAGTTACCACTATAAAATATAGGAGACAGCCATCCCTATGCTGGACAAGAAAGCTTCAAGATAAGAGTCGTGTTTTAATCTGTGCCAAATGTACAGCACCAAACACACTGCTGCCCAAAGCAGACACTAAATTACAAGATGACCACGTGAAAGAGTGGGGCAAGCAGCCAAGAGCTGCAATAGGGGAGACAAATGGTCAGTATTCATAACAAAG